ATGTGACATATCCTCTTGGTGCGAGGTGTACGATTTTGGCGTTCGCTGCTGCGACTCTTGCGTGCGGTCTCGAACGATACCATGGAACCGCCTCCCTTACCCACTGAACGCAGAGCCCCTGCCGCTTCCGTATACATCTCGCTATCCGGGCTATGGGCGGTACTCGAAGCCGCATTACTGGAAAGCTCAGCTAGGAAGATATGTGCAAGAACAAGGCTGCGAGGACGTGCATGAACTGGCAGACCAGATGCTGGCCGAAAAAGACCAGGCAATGATCAAGAACATTCAGGAAAGGTCAAAGCAGCGCCGAAAGAGGTTAAGCGAGGACGCCTAAAAGGTGGGGCGTGGTTGGACTGCAAAAGCACCGCTCAGTATGTAGCAGTTGGGAGCATTTAGCAGTAGAATCGGAAAGACGGCGTATTGAAGGCTGTATCATCAAATAAGAAATTGCCGCGCGGAGTTAGCTCACGTATTGGAATGCGGAGCACTTGTATAAAAGATAATCGTACCAGTGAGAGTGGAGCGGGGGGGAGTGTGACTCATGTTTAGTTCGCTGCTCTGCCCGAATTTCCGCACTCGCGGTGATAACACATTCGGCACATTCACCACCCTTCATTCCTCACCAATTGTATATGACGAAAAGGATTGTTTGCAAAAAAATTAATCAGAATCATTAGTCCTTAAGGTTAGATACTTTTATCTTACACCTTTCGCCGACCAATATAAAATATAGGATAAATATTTCCTATAAAAAATATGATTGTTAATTATTTTTTCCGTTCTTGGTTTATTGAATTTAAAACTATGACTGATCTTGAAACTTTAGCTAATATTCTTTATTTAGGTTATCCTACTGCTTAGCTACTTATTGGTGTTGCTTTATGGGTTGTTTTAATTGGTATTATTAAAGTCACTGCTTCTAACCAAAATGATCCTAAGATTGAGCAAAAAAAATATATGGATTAACACCACGATTTTTAGTACACCGATCGCCGAGGTAAACTCTGGGAGCGTGGCGAGGGCAGTGGGCGCAAATCGAGCGCAAAAGATGAGACACACCTCGTGCCTGTCCCACAACTACCGCCTGAAGTGATTGAGAAGGTTCTGTCGATGGTCTCATATGCCGGAACGCTGCTCCGCCTTCCTACCGTGTGCGAAGCGTTCGCGCACATCGTAAACAGCAAGAATGAAGTCTTTTGGGAGAAGTGGAAGGAAGCAAACGCCTGGAAGGCGGACTGGCTTGAATTTGCATCGAGCTTTGGCGCAAAGCGTTGCGTTGCAATCAGGGCGTTCAGTGAATGTGAAGTAAGTTGATCCCTCTACTCACTTTGTGCTAGAAAAAAATAGAAACAAAGTTTCGTAACAAACTTGCTAATTTTTGACAGATATGCGGTAAAGGGCCAGGAACGTTGTTCACGGGGCACTTTCCTGTCAGACCAACGGCGCGGGTGCTGCCCAGGGTCTACCCTCCCTTCGGAATCCGGTGCTGCAGGGCGTGCTTCGTCGCTCGAATTACCCGCCAACAGCGCCTCCCGTACCCGCTCGACAAGAAGCTATTGCCAATTCCTTTCAAAACATCACTTACGGAGGCTTCCGCGACTGGACATCTCAGTTGGAAAAGTATATGCGAGCAGGGAACTGCAACGAACTGCAGGAGCTCGCGGATAGGATGTTGGCAGAGGCAGGCGGAGACGTGGAATGGTTTGACCGCATCCAAGAAGAGGAAGTATCGGTTCATGGCAGGATTCGTGCAGTGTCACCCGGCACTTAACGGAGATGGATGACAGCAGCGGAATTAACAAGGCTAGGAAACAGCAGGCCACATGGCGTATAGCAATTCGATAGTGATCTAACTGCTTGAAAATATACCGTAAGTTTTTGCATGACCACGGCGTTTCCGGTAAAAAAAAAAAAAGAAAAAAATAGGAGCTACTTTCTATTATTCTAATTTAGGTGTCTCGGTCTTTGCAGTTCAAATGTCTGTCCGGTCCGGCCGTTTATAGCACCGAATGTGGTAGCCGCATCCATCGTCTCCTTGCATCGTCCAGCAGCCGTCCGCTACTTCCACAATTCCGGCATCTCGCCTCATCGCTGTCAGAAACGCCTCCAACTCAGCCTCAAACCGCGGACGTTCCGGTAGCACAAAGTATGCGCGCGCGTCGGGCTCGCGCGCAAGGTATGCGTCAACTATCCCTGGTAAATGCGCAGCGTGCAGCGTATCGTACGCGCAGTCTGAAGCGAGGATTGTATGGAAGCGCTGGTGCGTGGGATTTACGTTGCTGTTGTCGCTGACGCTGTTGCTGTTGGATGAAGCGGGCCATGGAGGATGCAGAATGCCCTCTGTCCAGTCGAGTTTGCAAACGGAAGCGGATGGGGTTAGGTCATTGGTGGTGGTGTTGTGTAGCAGGTTTGTGAGGACGGCGGGTTGGAAATCGGTTAACGTGATGTGCGAACACGACTGCCGAATCAGCCGTGCGCAAACTAGCCCTGCGAGACCGGTGCCGCTGCCCAGCTCCAAAATCTGTGAGTTGGCGGGGGGGCGGGGCACTGCGCCCGAGTCTAACAATCTGAAGAGGCGACAACAAATAAGAATTAATGATCGCTGGCCAAAAAAACCCCCCCAGAATTTGCAAGGTGTCTCTGTGATGCACAAACATACCTTGCGAGAACAACGCCCGAACCCCAGGTCTGAAAGCCCAAGCCTGCTTCGCCGTAGCCCATTTCTCTGACGACCAGAGTACCCGCTTTGTCAAACACCCAGGTCCGATCAACCTCGTCCAACGCTGCACGACCCGCAAGCAAGCTCAACAGCTCAGCGGCAGTCGCCAGCGGACCATCATCATCATGTCTTCCGTTCTCCTCCTCTTCCTCCTCCGCAGGCTCCTCTTCCGTCAGCACGGCCAGCAAGCGGACAAGCCACGGCGTGCACTTGTCGCGCAAGACAGCGGAAGCATGAGCGACTGCTGCCGTAGGCTGCATGGGATTGAGAAGCGCCTCATTCGCGAGCCTTCGTAATCGGAGAAGAGTGGAATGAATAGCTTCACTTGGCGGAGTGCGGGGTGGAGGCAGCGGGAGCAGCGCTGCGAGACTGGCGTCGAACGGGGAGTTGGAAGCTGCAGCCATTTGCTTGAAGTTTCTATCCGCGAGTCATTCAGCAGCTATAGCAGTCAAAATGCCAGAGGCAGTGATCACTCCACCAGCTGCCTGTTGGTCAAGATGACGCCGTTCGCGGGTTTGAGCGTCGAAACTGGTGAGGATGGCGGCGGCGCTCAGGAATTTGCCAATTCTTTTTTTGTCCCAGCCGGGCTGTCATACAATAGACGTGCCGCTTCTCGGCGGCTTCAAATGAATAATATCGGGTTTGCACCGATAGACAACACCTCAAATGAACGGAGTGTTTTGTTTGTGGGATGAAGAATGACCGAAAAGCAGCACGTCAACTGTCCGCATCGAGGGACCTGCACTTCAGCCCTAAGCCTAACCCTCATTACAGACGCCTAGTTGCCTTTGTGCTCGCTGTTTCTCCAGCCTGCGATGATACTTTTTGAGAGACTCGACAAACATGCATGCTGCAGCAGACTGAGCAAAAGATGCTGCGCTCACACTTGTAATTCTCGAGGGGGTAAAGGACTTTACAATGTGTTGCAAGAAGACTTTTCCCTTTCCATTAGTAGGGAGCTGGAGGGAGTCAGAGCGAGTCACAGCGCAGTCAGATGCCATATGTAGTACATACTGAATATAGGGTTGATCTTCGGAAAGAAGAACGCTCCTCACCGACCTTCCTTCGTCGGCCGTCCCCCGTCTTTGTCCATACCCCTCGTCTCTCACCGCTCCATCTCGCCTGCCTACCATGTTGCCCGTTGCCTGTCTCGCTACGTCCAGAACAGCATTCGCGCGCGTGTCTGTCTCGAACTCCGCCGCAGTCTGCTTGCCGCCGCGACTACCGTTCCGCCGAGCATTCCGTGCCGCCGGCCCTCTCCGCCAAGCAGGTGCGTTGCGCTGACTGCCATGCTGCGATTGTCGAGGTGTTGGATCTAATTGTTTGCGTCTCTTTTTTCCTTGTCAATCAAAGCTCTTCACATCGCCGAAGACGATTCCTGCGTCTCCTATACCACAACCACGCCTGTTTCGTATAGTCGACCGTCACTTCTCCGCCGGCACGCTTCCACAACTCCCGCGCCTTCCTCAAACTCTACCTCCTCTTCACCGTCTTTGGCATCTTTATCCTTCCCACCCGCCGGATCCACGCCAACGCCACCATCTACGACCACCACCACCGGCCCGCCGTCCGCATCAACCTTGACGGCACTCTCCCTTCTCCGGGCACAACCATCCTTTTACGCCATCATCGAGCTCAAATCCCGCCCTTACCACATCCAAACAAACGATATCATCATTGCGCCGCGCATCAACGAGTTGGCGCTCGGCGACGTGATTGCGCTTGACCGCGTGCGGGAAATCGGCAGCAAAGATTTCATCCTCAAGGGCAACCCGTATATCGACCCGCGCTATTTTGCCATCAAGGCGACGGTGGTGGAGCATGTTGTGAGCAGGGAGACGGAGGTGTTGTTTAAGAAGCGGTCAGGGAGGAACCGGATTATAAAGAACAAGAGTCACCATACGGCACTGCGGGTGGGCGAGATTGAGATTGTTGATAAATTCTAGAAGAGACGGCAGAGGGAGAGCATGACGATGGATTTTTTTTTAAATTTTGATGCTCAATGCATTATCGGCATGCGTGTTGTCTGGCAGCGAGGCAATGAATGCTTGGGCAAGGAGCAGGACATAGGTCGACCGACCTATGCCATTTTCTTGACTTGTTCAGATGGAAAACCTTCCACTCTGTCCCGTTATAAAGTCTACCCGGGTGCCGTGCACTCTCTGCATGACAGACTCTTTCTAAAGCTGTCGGACTCGCTAGCTTGATGGCGGATCTACCCACGCAGCTACTTTGTCGTTGCGGCCGACTCGTCCTGACCTGACAAAATACAAAAAACGAATTGCGAGGAACGCGAGACTCGAACTCGCAACCTTTGGATTCGAAGTCCAACGCGCTACCATTGCGCCAGTCCCCATTGGTTGGGTGTGATGATCGCTTGTGCGTGGTGGGACAGAAAACGGGACTCTCAATGCACTCAGCCAAAAGCGGACATGTCCAAACGCGCTATACCATTGCGCCAGTCCCCATTTTAGTTGGATGTGGTGATTGCTTGTATGTGGTGCGACAGGAAAAGAGACTCTCAATGCACTCAGCCAAAAGCCGACATGTCCTAACGCGCTATACCATTGCGCCAGTCTCCATTTTGGTTGGATGTGGTGATTGCTTGTGCGTGGTGTGGCCGAAAAGGCCACCCTCAATGCGCTCAGCCAAAAGACGACGTGTCCTGCTAGCTTGTTAAGCTTGAAAAATGAGGTATCAGAAATCACCGCAGCTGCAAGGTGACACTGATTGGCCAGCAAAAAAGCGCTATATTACTAAACAATTTTATTGGCATATTTTGTTGGCGTCAGCAAAAGAGGTAGCAAAGCAGATATTCTTTTTTGTTGTAAGGATGTGTGTCTCTGTGTGTGCTTTGAGTCTGAGCGAAGGAGGGTTCCTTTTGTAACTCAGCGCGCGCCGGAGTCTGTGGACAAACGTCACTCCCACAAGTCACTTTCTTGCTCGACACATCCGAAGTCAAGCTGAACTCGCAACAAACAGTTAAGAGGTGTGAATCTGTGGCGCTCTGATTGTATTATCATTGGGATCCGATTTGCGGCCGTGTACACAACAGATTACTAACGGCTGTCCACTTTCCAGCAGAATTCATTTATGACCTTCTGTTCATTTTACATAGGAAAATAGAATGGCAAGAGACATGTCCTAATACCCAGTGGCATCAATGTTACTCATTACAGCAAGTATGTCGGCGCGTGCGTCCGCCAATCTGTTACGAATGACTCCAGCAGTTGCCATCCAAAGCCCACGCAATGGTGGCAGATAACCATCGCCTCTTATGATTGCAATCTCACTGGCGGATGCGCTAACGGGGAAGCGGACGTTGGAAGTTACAAACAGAAGTGCGTCGCGCCAAGCCGGGTTGACAGCGATGGATTTTCGACTAGACAGCTCGGACTTCTTGGCCGATGACAAGGAGCTTACCTCTATGTCGCCTTACCATCCGAAGTTCGCATCTTGGCAGCATACATATATGCACGCGTGGTCTGGGAAGGTGTAATCAGAGGGAGCGGGCTTGTTCTGACGTTTTTATGCTAAGGTAGTTGACGACCATTAACTTCATCTTGGCTACCAGTAACTTCATAACCAATTTCAGGCCGAACTCGCACTGCACTGCTGCCGCCGGCTTGGGCTTCACAGCACCATAGACAACGGCATTCTGGCATTCTACAGTTGCGTGTGGTTGACTTTTGTGAGTTCCTCTGCAGCGGCCCGGGGGTGGCTGTGCTGTCCGTCGTTGTCGAGGTGCCTCAAATCTCTGCCTGTCTGCAATTCCCAACTCGGTCCCCCACCACAAACAAAACTTACATGGCCGGCAGCTTCAACGTGCTGCTCCCTGGGCCGCCGAGGCCCACCGCTCGAGCAGTTATTCGCCAGAGTTACTCGGCCACGCATTTCCCCAACGTGGACCCCAACGAGCCCGCTACGGCACGAAACATTGCCGCACTTCGGCGGAACGTTGCCCACAAGATAAACGAAGACATGAATTAGGAATATGCATTGATTTGACCTGGCAATTTACAATTGCCTCTAGCTTCCGCACTCTGGAGCTAGTACTCTATGGAGTAACTCCAGGTGAACGCCCGTAGCTTGTCGGCAATTTACATGCTCACAGTTCCCCGTCATCGCCAATTCCAGAAATTCGAGCACTACATAAAATGCTGGCTGACGCCAAGCAAGAGATTGCAGAATGTGTTGGATGGCCAGCGAGCTGGGCGTCCCACACCTTCAACCTCTTTGCGTGATGCCGAAAGAGTCAAGGAGAAGGCTGAAGAACGCATTGTGCGGGCAGGCTACGCGTTGGGCGCACCTGGCTCGCCCGAGCGAATCCGGCAAATCACGGTCATGTGGCGCCGAAACTACCCTGATGTGCAAATGCACATTGCTGTGCCGCGATCGCTCGAAGCAGAGATGGAGTGGAAGCACTGGGCCAGCTCGCGCTTAGAAGGAATGCACGCTGCGGGTACCATGATTGGAGGATATTCTGACCCACAGCTTCAAGTCTTGCGACAGATCTGCGCTGCGCGCCCTTTGCATTGAGTGCAGCTGGACGCTGGGCGGGATCGCTCATCCACGAGTCGTCTGTGGCACCAGGCGGAGCCATCTGTCGCAAGACTTGAAGCTGTGGGTCGGGCTTACCTGCAGGCCTTTTCTCCGCCAAAAACCAACGTGCGCGTACGCGGGCTCGCTACAACAGGGACAGCGCGGATCCTCTTATCCAGTTAACCACCGTAATGGAAGGGCGTGAGGTCAAAATTTGGGCCAACTACAATTTTCCTATTTTCTGGAAAGATCCGCAGAGCGGACAGGATCACCAGATTACCTTGCCTGCTCCAAAAGCAGCTGTGGACGTGGACGACAACGATCAGCGGCGATTTCTTGCGTTCCTTCCCGAGGGTATTGGCCTGCGCAATGAGAGTGGCACGTACTACGCGCTATCCCTCAACTCGCTCAGGATGCACAGGATTCTTCGGCGGGATCAGTTCCTTGGGTACAAAAAGGGCCCAATCATTCAGCTAATGTGGCAACCTGAGCGGCAGCGCATCACATTCGCTGCGCCGCCCTCAGCCGTCACGCCAACAGCCCAGCTGGGAAAGACCTGGTTCAGCCAGCCATGCGCTGTTTCTCATTCATGGCTGGCTGAACCAGGTCTTTGCCAGCGGAGGATACTTTCACGTGGGTGACGACACCTGGACTGTGATTCTGAAGCCACCCGAAGTCGACGTGCCGCAGTTTGAAGTCGAATCGGCATGGGAAAGCTGGAATGCCTACGTGACGTCGCAGCCACATCATCCATATTCGGCCTTGTTTGCTGGCTGGCAACCTTCCAAAGCCGATGCCACTAAACTCGTGAACTGTGTTGCGTCGTGCCGTAGAATTGTTGACCAAGGCCGCAAGCAGAGGCCCGGAGGCGAGCAATGCAATTGGTACCGAATTACCGGCCGAAACGGGAACGGCCAGGGCCCGCCAGGATCATCGTCGTCGACGTCGTCAGGTGGGCACCCCCACCCATTGCAACCGCCTTTGCCGCCGTCGTCTTCCTCCTCGTCAAAACACAAGCGGCCGCTGTCGCAACACGGATCGCTGACAAAGCCGAAACCGTGGAGATATTGACGTAAGGGTGGCGGCGACATGCCAGGTTTTAGGGCCGAGGCCCAAGTTTCTTTTTGTTCTGCCACATCGAAAGCACACCAACAACCTAGTGGTTCAACGACGTGCATGTCGTCAGTTTTCTGGACGGCGTTATCGGCTTCTGAACGAGGCGCTCCCGCACGGCCGGTTCTGAGCCTGATGCGTTTGAACCTGCTGACCGGAGTGTCCATGGGGCCGCTGGGGTCTGGTAGCTGCAGAAGAGCTGATTGGCCGGAACTCTTCTTGCCGCCACTTCTGGACTTTGACGGCGCTTTTAGGGTTGGGAAGGTTACTTCATGCCCTTCAATGGATTCGTCACCCGAATCGGTACCGGACATATCACCTGGCTGTTGGAGCTGGTCCGCCAGCGTCTCCAAGCAAGGCACAAGGCACAACGCAGTCCGGATGGTCTGAATCCAAGGGGTGTGCCCTATGCACACACCCGACCGCAGGCGCACGACCGACAGCAGCTGTGCATCGTGCCTGGATGTGTTTGAGCAAGTCGCTCTCGTACTTGGTGGGATTTTTGGCATCGTCTTCTTTCGCTGCCTCGAGCCAGCAAACTTCCAAGCCACTCGCAAGCTTCCAGCATTTGTCCGCCTGCTTGCCACGATTCGTTGAATCCGCCTCCGCAACCTTTCTAGCCTTGGACGCTAGAACCGTCTCCTCTGCAGGCCCTGTGTACACGATCCCACTTGTCAGCGGGTCAAAAAGCCCGTCCCAATCTTCTCGCATGACCCCAGCCTCGGGCACCCGCCCGGGAAGCGGCCCGCAGGCCCACTTTGCGAACTGTGCCTGTATCATCCGCCGCACTGCCAACGTGATTGTCCGCATGTGGTGCCTTTGCCCCTCCGCCTGCATTGGGATCATCAACTCCCGATTGTAGGCTGCGTCAAGCGACAGGCTTTGCGATATGGCCTGCCGCAAGTCACCCACATGGCTGTACGCAGCCTGGAGATCGGGGCTCAGATTTGCCAGCTCTTCACCCTTGTGGATCGAGCGAAAACAGCCATACGCCGAACTCCGCGCTGTCCAGATGTGTCTTGCTTTCAACCGATTAGCCTTGTCGAGCGACGCTCGAACAACGAGGTCGCTTAGGAAAGAGATGCTTGAATCGGCCGCGTCTCCGATTTGCCCCCTCGCAGCCTCGCCATTAGTAGTCGACGAATGAAGCACCCATCACTTAACTCTGGTTCGCCCGAGCTTACAGACTCTACCGGCGGTTCGGATTCTTCCAAGCCCCTGTCACTGCCGGCTGCTCCCGAGTCGACGGTGCGGTTGGCTTCATCCGCATCATCTGCTCCTGACATTTTTGGCATGATGTTCCGATTCAAGTTCGGACACGCCGGCGATCTCCTCACCGTTGCCGCTGTCGTCTGCGCCTAATTGGCCAGCGTTATCGTCAGCGGTGTCGGTGAGATTAGCTTCGTGGAAATCGCGCTTTGTCCCCTGCAAACTGCTCTCAGCTTTGATCACGGCATTCAAATCCTTAATTTGTGCAACATCTATTGTAGCTGTCGGTCACTGCAGCCATTTCAAGTGTTTTAAGGTGAAACCGCGTGCACATGCTCGCAATGCCGTCCCCCCACTGACATCGCATCCCTAAACCCATTGCGCGGCCTTGTAGAGCTCACTCTGGCGGTTCTGGAATGCCCGGCTTCTAAGCTTTGCGATGTTTTTTGAGGGAACTACCAGTGATTTTGTGTTTTGAGGTAGCCCGCGCGC